TTACATGATATATCATTCACTTCCTGAGATAATAAAAAGAGTATGATCTATTCAATATTTGACTTATATTATCAGATATATGACTGTATTACTTGAATATTTGAACATTACATTTTACCATTTTATATCCAACATTTAAGAGACCATCCTAGATGCCTGGACTCAGTTTCTTCATTTGCATGATTTCTTCACTTGCTAGTGCAGTGGATTAAACATTAGTAGAGTTTTAATAACCTCGTATTCACATTTTCTTTTAACATATGTATTGGAATGATTATCAAGGGGATAGTTATCACCTCATTTTAGAAGGAGAAAAACAGTGGGTCTCAGAAAAATGAAACATGTTAGTGAATGTGAATTCTGAACTGCGATAGGTTACCCATTTCAGTCCTCTATCACTCAAAGAACACCTCTCACATTATGTCCCTCAGTGAGAAGGCTCATCCATTTCAGGAAGCTCTAAATAATTACCTAATGGCTCAGAAGGTGGCCATCAGTCACTGGATATTATGATTGTGCTGGGCTGAGTAATAAATAACCCACCCGGATGTCCACAGCCTAATCCAAGGAACCTGTAGGTGTTATATGGCAAAAGGAACTTTGCAGATGTCATCAAGCTAAGGATCTTCAGATGGGAAAATTATCCTGGATTTTGTGGGTGAGCTCTTAAATGTAACCACAAGTGTCCTTATAAGTATGAGAGGCAGAGGGAGAAGAGACTACAGAGAAGACAGTGTGAAGGTAGAGCAGAAATAGAGTTGAAGATGCTTTGCTGCTGGCCTTGAAGATGAGAAAGGGCCCATGAGTCAAAGTATGCAAAGAAGGTAGCTCCAGAAGCTAGAAAAGGCAAGAAAAAGATTCTCCACTGGATGCTCCTTTGACACCTTGAGCTCAGTTCAGTGAAACCCATTTCAGACTTCCAACCTCTAGAAATGTAAAAGAGTAAATGTGTATTGTTTTAAGCCCCTCAGTTTGTGGGCATTTGTTACAGCAGCTTTAGGAAACTAATACAGTGATGTACAATGGGACTCTGAGGAAGCCCCTTCTTGGTCAGGGAGAAGCCAGACTGTATTCTGAAATTCAATAGGCTGCTAATTTCAAGTTAACTAACCAGACACTCATGGGGTATCAGGATTCCTCAGTAGCAAGGGAATGGAAGAGAAGGGGAGCTACCTGAATCACGTCTACTAACTACGCAAACATCACATTGGCTGACAGACACCCTTGAATCCCAGGAAGTCAGCTAGAGACCTGGAAATCTTCAATCAAACTAGTAACTCAGAGGAAAGGGCCAGAATTTCACCAGGCAGGCTGAGCATTTATAGCTTCATTAAAGGCTACTAAATTATATGACTCAAGAAAATCACTGGGAATTTATTAGGACAAGAAATGTTTCTGTGGTTTTTACCACAAAACCTCATTGGACCTTACACTGCATGACTATGGAATCTACTCTCACTTTTTGGAGCCCAAAATATCTGTCTAGTTCTTTGGCTTGCAATATGAACCTAAGTAAAAAGTATGAGGGATTCAACATTTCTGGATGTTGTCACTATAACCTAGCTCTCAGTGACCCTGTACAGAACCTCTGATTCATTTTCAGATGATACAGCTCCTTTTTCAAGATGGTAGAAGAGTTGGGGCACCTGGTTGGCTAAGTCAGTTAAGTGTCTGCCTTCAGCTCAGGTCATGATCCCAGGGTCCTGGGTTCAAGCCCCATGTCAGGCTCTCTGCTCAGTGGGAGCCTGTTTCTCCCTTTCCCTCTGCCTGCTGGTCTGCGTGCTTGTGCCCTCTCTCTCTCTCTCTCTCTCTCTGTGTCAAATAAATAGATAAATTAAATCTTTAAAACAAACAAAAAAAAGATGATAGAAGAGTTAAATGGTTCCTGTTCTTAGAGTTAAGAGTTTAAAGCCATCTGATCAGGCATGGGAGGAATAATGGAAGAATGTCAAGTAGGCCTTAACATTGATCCTTAGAGTGTCTTTTAAATCAGAAGTACAACAGACATGACAAATTTTTTTAAAGAATTTTCTAGTCTTTTGCTTCTACTTTCCACATCTGGCTCACTTTACTCACGGTCGTGTGACAAAAGAAAGTAGGTTTCTGGATTATATATATATATTTTTAAAGATTTTATGTATTTATTTGAGAAAGAGAGAGAGTGAGAGAGAAATAGAGAGAGCAGGAGCAGGGAGAGAGGCTGAGGGAGAAGCAGACTCCCCGCTGAGCAGGGACCCAGACGCCTGGCTCTCTCCCTGGACTCCAAGATCTTGACCCAAGCTGAAGGCAGATGCTTAACTGACTGAGCCACCCAGGTGTCCCTCTGTTTCTGGATTTTAAAGCACAAAAAGTAGCTAGACTTTCTGCAGTGATTCCAGTGGTTTCCAAGACAGGACCACACCTACTCTTTATTCCTCCCCCCAAAACTAAAATGGAGTGTTTAATACAAACAAGTTCTTCTCTGAAGAGTAACATGTACATTTAAATTAAATGATAGCAAAGAGTTCTATCAGGGGTATAATCACTGTCCTCAGCATGTAAATAAAGACATGGGGACTCAATGGAAGGAACACTATAATACAGTGAATGAGAATACTGGTTAGAGGCTAAATAGACAAGGTTTGACTCTCAGGTCCCAATACTAGCTGCATAACTCTGGGCAAGATTCTCAATTTTTCTGAGCTTCACTTCACTAATCTTTGAAATGGTGATAATAATAGTACCTACCACCTAGGGCTATTTTGAACATACATACCTATATAATACATATAAACTTGGCCAGTGCAGAACTTAGAAAATATTCAGAGCTCAATAAATATCAGCTACCTTTACATGACCTTGAAGCCAATAAGAATATGATTTGGAGTATTTCATTAAATTATAATTTGTCATAATCTAGCTCAACAAATAATGACTGAAGGGAAAAGATAATGAGACATTTTAAATATGGAACTGGTTACTGAAGGAAATTTTATTGCCAAACACATGCAACTTGATTTTTATTATGAAAACAAGTTGCACATATTTTGAACATCAAATAGATCAAAGGATATACAAGAAAAAGTTAATCTTTCCCTTACTGCAGAACTTCAGTTGCATTCTATAGAAGCAATCACATAGATACATGCACGTGTGTGTGTGTGTGTGTGTGTGTGTTTAAAATCTAATTTGACTCCCAGATTTCCTTCTTGTTCCTCTACCAGGATTTTTTTCACCCAGCAGCCTAAGTGAATCCTAAAACAATTAAATCATGTCATATAATTTCCTTGCTTAAAATACTCCAATGGCCCATTGTATTTAAATAAAACACAAACTTCTTACTCTGGATTGCAAAGTGCTACATACTCTGGTCTCTGCTTTTCTCTCTAACCTGTCTCCCTCTGTTCTCTTCTAACTAAGCTCCAGGAACACTGGCTTTCCCTCTGTGTATAGGATGAACATTCGGGCTCATTCCCACCTCAGGACCTTCACACTGTCCCTTCCCTGGAATGCTCTTCACATTGAACTATCCATAGTTATGTCTCTTTTTTATTCAGATCTCAGATAAAACCCATCTTCCCAGTTCAGGACATAGCTGACTCTACAACTCAAAAAGCCACTTGGTTATTCTTTATCATTTCAACATATTCTGAGTCTTTGTGCAGCACCTAATACCACTCTATATTTTTATTTGTTTGCCTATTTTTACTTATTCATATGTTTAGTTAGGTAATTGTGAGCTTCTCTGTTTCCTAGAAAGGGACCTTCATGACAGCAAGACTAGGGCCTGTTCACTCCTGGACCTCTCTGCCTAAAAGGATGCTGAAAAATAATGCGTGTCTAATAATGCTTCATATATTTTTGCTAAAAGTTAATGAGGGCTATTTAGGTTATTCCTTTTCCAAGTAATTTCAAAAATGGGGCTACATTGCCCTAGCGCATTCATCCCTGTACATGTCCAATCAAGTGCCAAAAGTTTAATTATTGAGGCAAAGGTATATACAATTTAAATTTTGATCATTGTTTCCAAACCACCTTTTAACAAAGTTATGCCAATTTACATTCTGAGTAGATTCTTTGAATCTTCTTTTAAGTGACTTCATGACATGATATTTGAGATACATTCTCTCAATTTAGAAGCTCAGGACACTTTATTATTTTATAACTTTGAAATGCAAACAGAATAGCCCAAGTGCAGACATCCACAGTAGACCTTCAGAAAGGCTGGAGATCCCACATTTATAGTTACTGACAATTAGGTGAGTTACTATGAGAAGCATGCATGACTCCCTTTCAAAGGTCTCTCATTACCCAAGTCTTACATCTGAATTTTTAGCAGTAAACAAAGGTTTACTAATCAACAACTTTCCTAAGCATACAAGTATAATTTATGATAACAAAAATATTAGTTGATGAGGATTGGATGGAGACACAGAAAACCATAATGGCAGAAACAGGTACCTTATTCAAAAAGGTTCTCAAATTCCATGAATTTATTTCTCCCCACCAAAGGCTTCTTTATCATGCCCTTTGAGTCATCTATGGCAACAAGCTCAGATTCTGTGTAACAGTAACTGGAAAATACCCTACTGATGAATGTATACCTATATGTTCATATTTGTTTAAACTATATCACCAAGACCAATGACAGAAGTAGGGGCATCTAGATGCCAGTGACTCCTCTATGCCATTTTGTGAAAGACATTCTCTCCCAGTGCAAAATCAACCAACTAAAGTCATGAACAACAGCCAGAAGGGAGCCAGAAAACAAAGCCATAGACGTACAGACATTCAACCTCTACAGGAACATCATTCCAGAACTTCCACCAACTTATTTCACTCAGAAATATCTTTAAATGAAACATGAGTTTTCAGCAAAGATCATCCAAACATCTGTTATTTAAGCACATAAGATGTTCTCTATCGCTCATCTTTTACTCAACGGCAGCGTAATCTCCCCTTAGAAGAATTACAGCATTGGAAAAAATTGCCCAGTTAATTGAGAGATACCAACTCTGGGTTCAAGCTGTACCTGCATGAAGTATCCAATATGCTAAATACAGAAAAATGGTGGTACTTACAGCAGGGTGTCCAGTACAGTAGGCATAGCTGGCATGGGACTGATAGTGCAAGCTTGCTCTTGGGAAGGAGTATGTGTTCCAGGCTGGTTGGCTGCTGTTCCACTGAGAGCTGAAGCCAGGGCTCATGGTCACTCGGGACTTACTTGTTTGATAGGCTCTCACTGTGGAGCTAGACTATCAAGAAGAAAGAAATGCAATGTAAAGACAGCTCTGCATAAAACCCAAGTCAGCTATATACGGCAGTAGGCACTTTCTTGTGCCACGGGTCTTGGCTGGTTAAGGCAAATGGCTGATTCCTTAAGGGGAGGCATTAAATATTGTACTGACTAGGAGAAAAGTATTTTCTCACTGTTAAGAATTTTAACTGGATCACAAAGCACAAAGGCTCACTGAAATGGATCTTACTGTTGTTGTCTTTTTTTTTCCAGTTGCAACATGCAACCCCATCCTTCAGAAATGAGATATGTTTTAGTGGTGACAGCAGTGGTGATACTGTCGATTTTACATATACATTCTCTCATCAAAGCGTTCACCCTAGAAATTGACCGTCAATCTCATCTGAATGCAATAAACGAAAATCTTACTTTATGAGGATGGGACTGAGGCACAGATTAGTCCCTGACTCTAAATGGTCTTCAAATTCCATGAATCTATTGCTCTCCAGTGGGAGGCGTCACAGAAACCTGGTCATATTCCAGCATGTCACCATTCTACTACCTAATGGCAGCATAATGATGAAGGATTTGAAATCGTCATTTACCCTCAACCAGCCGTACCCATGTAATTAAAAATAGAGAAGTAGGAAAATATCTATTAACTTGCCAAATGTTAAATATACGTGGTTGTTCATAGCTGTATATAGGGTAGAATGAACTGAAAACAAAACTCACTCATATCTTCTTTGTCCTCAGATGGCCATGACATATAAGACATATAATAGTTTCTTTTCAGAGAATAATTTTCTATCATCAGATTGCAATAGCTACTTACCCAAGTAGTACAGCAACTTCCACAATAAATTCTATTTATAAATCCATGGGCATATGCCAACTCAATCACTAGGAAAATGCGCTAATCTCATCGCCATTATATTCAGGAAACCTAGTGGGAAGAAACTTCTACCTGAGATTGTGTTACCCATTAGGCCGGGTTTTGATACCATTAGATACTTAGAGGAATGACTTTTCTGAAGACAAGTTTGGGCATCTTGGAGTAACTGAAAGAAAGCAAGGGCCTCAGCAACTGGAAGGTTCTAGGCAAGGCTATTTCTCTCATAATAACCTCAAGATATTTGGAAAGGGAAGAGAAAATTTAAACCAGTGATTCACTGGTAAGCAACTTAAAATACTTAAACCCCAAACTAGAGAACACAGCCTTGTTGACGTAGACAAGTTTTTTTTTCAACCCTCTGTCTCTACTCTCATCCTTACCCTAACTAAACATGTGTACTCTCCAAGTGTTCAATAGTTCAATGGTATGTGCAGGTACAGCAATGTGAAGGTAGACACTGCTGCCTACCTCCCTAGGACAAACCTGTGTTGGAGAAGCAATAGTAGACTTCTGTAAAATTGGGATTTGGGTGGGGTGCCTGGGTGGCTCAGGCAGTTAAGCATCTGCCTTCTGCTCAGGTCATGATCCCAGGGTCCTGGGATGGGTTCCCTGCTCGATGGGTGAGTCAGCTTCTCCCTCTCCCTCTGCCCTTCCCGTGCTCATGCTTGCTCTTTCTCTCTCTCAAATAAATAAATAAAAATCTTAAAAAAAAAATTTGGGATTTTTGTACATGGTCCTAAGTATGGAAGTTCCATATTTATATGTTATATGTGTGATATACACTATCACACGTTATATGTGTGATATATACTATCACTTCAAAGAGTAACAAGCTCACCCACAAAACTATCATTGGCCCTGAAAGTATCTTGGCTTTCTGCTCTGCATCTATGGTCACTAACATTAATCACTCTCACTAGCTCAGTAGGTTCTCTGGCTAGCTCCTTCAAGATGAAACGTGGTTAGTTCCTTTATCAGTTTTCACATTTAGATCAGCTCCTGGACCTTAACATTCTTGGAAATTGTGTATGCACTCATCTCTTGGTTTAATTACGTTCCCACATTGCTTTAGTCTCTCCTCAATGATTTTATTCGTGGTGGTCTTCCTCCTGCAAATTCTTTTTGGTCCCTCCTTTACAAACCTCACATTCGAGCTATACTTCATACTTGGTCCCAGTTCCCATGCCCTTGCCTTCCTACTCTCACACAGCCCTCCCAGTGTGGCTCAAACACTTCAGTCTGTGATTGCATTGTTTTGTATTGTTCCCACTATATGTAAATTTCAGCTCTCCAGCCTGGCTGAGAGTCTAATGAGGTCAAGATCGGGTATTGCTGTATTGCCTTTTTCACAGCTCAAGGAGTCTTTATCTCCCTTGCCCTTGGAAGGCTCTGAAAGTGTTTATCTCCTTATCACTGCAATCATCTTTCCCTCTGACTCCTTGACCCTTCTGACTGTACCTTCCTGTCTCACCTGCTTCCTTATCTTTCTATTTGCTCTCCCCAAATGAGGTCTTTTGCCAGGGCTTAATTTTCAGTTCTGTGCTATTCATTCTTTTAACTTACCTCCTTTGTGATCTTATTCATGGTCAAAGCTTTAAGTATTAATTCTAAGAAGATGACTCTCTGATGTAATTTAACAGTATGTATTCTCTCCTAAATTCCAGTCCCAAGTCTTAAAATATCTGCTGGATATGGATGTATAATTATCACTCACAACAAATGGTTACTGTGTATAAAATTAAATGAGCGTATTGTTTTACTCTAAAATTTCACCTCCCCACAATTTCTTTATATCTGCTAATATTATGGCATTATTTTGAAACCAACTGCTTTGATCCTTTAGAATGCCTGTGACTCATTTATTTGTCCTCCAGCCCGTTATCTAGTGCCACCAAATTCTATTGACTCTCTTCCGTAGGTCTTGAACTGATGCTGTCCTTTCCATTCCCATTATGAGTACCCAGTTCTAGGATTTTATCAGTTTGTATCTAAGTCACTAAAACTACATCAACAACCTTCTACCTTAAGCCTCAATTCACTCTACACAATGACATCAGATTAGTTTTCCTAGAAACTTGCTTTTATGGTGTTACTCCCTAATGAAAAATGTCCAGTAGTTCTCCATTCCCTCTGAGACAAAATCCAAAATTCCTAGTCTCCTTGAACATTCTTTCCAACCCTAACCAATAATGCAAGGCTTATTTTTTATTCCTTTCTATATAGTCTCAAGCTCCAGATAGATTGTTACTCCAAACAAGATTTATGTCTGTCACACCTATCTCCTTCCTAGAATGTACTCCCCAGCTCTTAATTCACTTGACCCTACCAGACTCTACCTTTTCTGGTAAACCTATTTCAACACTCAGCCACCAACCCAAAGGGACTTTCACTTCTACTGACACTGACACTGACATTACAGTGACATTACAGATTTTCTTTCATATTCTTCTGGCTCTTTCATTTGTGTGGTACCCAGAAAATCAATACCATGACTTCATGAGTAGAACTCATCAAATCCCCTAATTAGTCTGTCACACAACAAGTCACACATCTCAACACACATCTTTGGGAACAGGTGTCTCAATTGTATTTCTTCAGAAGAACATGCAAGAACTTGAGTGTAAGTTGTTCATTTTGAAGTGATTCTAGAGAAAATCAGTAGGAGATTAGGAAATGTGACAGAGAAAGGATGAGACAATCCATTTGCATCATTGAATAAGTTATCACTATGGAGAACCAATTCCATTGAGAGGCTCTGGGAGACAGTGTAGAACATGTTTCAGAGTTACCTTATCGGAAGTTCAAGGAAGCTGGGGTATTTAACCTGATTCCCATTCATCATTGGCTGAGGGCTACTACTGAGAGCATTATTCCCTGGCACAGGCATAGCTGGCCTGCCCCACACATAGGCCAAAAGAAAGTTCTGATGTAGAGAGTCCCATGGGACTGTTAAAATGCTCTGAGAAAGTAAGTGCCAAGAAAGTATGGGCAGAGCATCGATAGCATCAATGTTAGGTGGATGATTCCCTGAACTTCTTCTTTTTTTAAATCTTTAAAAATTTTATTTATTTATTTGAGAAAGAGAGAGAGAGAGAACACAAATGGGTGGAAGGGCAGAGGCACAGGGAGAAGGACTAGCAGCCACCCTGCTGAGAAGGGAGCCCGATGTGGGGCTCGATCCCAGGACCCCAGCATAATCACCTGAGCTTAACTGACTGAGCCACCCAGGCACCCCTTCCTGAAATTCTTTTTTTTTTTTTTTTAAGATTATTTATTTATTTATTTATTTGACAGAGAGATACACAGTGAGAGAGGGAACACAAGCAAGGAGAGTAGAAGAGGGAGAAGTAGGGTTCCTGCTGAGCAGGGAACCTGATGTGGGGCTCGATCCCTGGACCCTGGGATCATGACCTGAGCCAAAGGCAGACTCTTAAAGATTAAGCCACCCAGGCTCCCCCTGAAATTCTTTATATCTGTCATAGAACCCCAGACACTTGAATTTTCCTTTTGCATGACTGAGAGCAAAGGGCTCAAAAATATTGGTCAAATTGGCTTGACTACACTACTGTTAAGGATTTGAAAGGACAATGCATGAAAGAAAATACTGAGATGGCCAGTAAGCATGGTGAAGAGGTGCTCAAAATCAGGAAAATATAAAATAAAGCTATAAGAAGATACCAGTTTATATCCAGGCAAGTGGCTAAAACTAAAACCATTGACAACACTAAATGTTGGTGAGGTTACGGAGGACCTGGAACCTCATACATTGTCAGGACATACAGAGGACTGTATGTCCTCTGCTTGGTGGTTTCTGATAAAATTAAGCCTATTTCTACTTATGACCTTGTAATTCTATCCCTATTTACCCAGAGGAAAATAGATTTACACAAAAATATTGTGTAAGAATGTGCATAGTAGCCTTATGCATAATAGTCCCAATCTGGAACTTATTCAAATGTTTATCAAGAGGAGAACGGTTAAAAAAAAAAAAAAGTGCTTTCATATAATGGAATACTACTCAACAATAAACAGAACAAACTTCTGATACACACAACTACATGGGTAAGTCTCAAGATCATGCCAAATAAAAAAAGACCAAGAATAGAAGGATAGATATGTGCGAT